GTCCACACTCCATACTGTGGTCTGCGGGGCTTGAACCGGCGACCCTCCGGTTCCCAAGCCAAGTCATTACACACTGACATACTGCCCCCCCATATTCATGTTGTAAATTCTTGCATCTAAATATAGTTAACTGTAGATTTCCTGAAAGATGTAGATACTACAGGTTCCCTTCTAAACACGTGGGACACATGCTAACATTTTTAGACACACATATCGCTCGAGTGTACCTCTTTTGCAAGGCGACGCGCTTCATAGTAGGGTCTTGCTTTCTCTATACAGCCACCGAGCTGAGAGCTCTGAGCATTCAGCTTCCTGGCAGACTCTGTGAGGATCTTCCGGTACCCTGATCTGGCATCCTGGATGGTTAATGCATGAAAATGACAAGATTAGATTTACTTGTAATGGAACGACTGATTGGATTTCAGCAGGAGTGTGCCTGCAAGTGTGCAATCGGTTCACTGAGTATCAAGCTATCAGCAACAATACATTTTCCATTTTAGTTCCAGCTTTTCCACACTTTGTGCTTAGAGATCTTGAAAACAAAACTGTCATATTGATTGGCACATTGTGGGTAGACTACTAAAATATTTAACAACAGAGACAGACTCTCAAGCGATTCCCTGCATGGTCGTAATTTTTACATTTGTCATTTGTTTTGTCAAGATCAAAGCGTCTTTATTTAATCTGTTTTCCATATTTTTTTTAATCACGTGTAGGAATACTGAACGAAAGCCCCTAATTGGGTGGAAACTATTTTTACTTACATCCAACTGCAGTTCTAGTCTGTTGATTTCTGCACTGGCTTCATTGAGATGCTCCAACTCTTCCTGTGGGGAAAGAAAAATAATGTACTTCTTTAGGCCCTTAACACTGACTTATCATATGTGTCATAATTACACTCAAATGCAATAACGCTGCAGTGATTTGAATGTAACGATAATGGCAAGCGAGGCACAAAGTGGTGCTGAAATGGCGTTGCACTTCACAGGTATGTGGAAATGTCTGACAAGATAATCACTTTTGATCTGAGAACCAGATTTGCACAGATTATAGACGCGTAGCTACCTCTCAACCAAAAGTAATTCAGTGTTACCCAACCAAGTACTGTTAGCAATAATTACAGCCTGACTGATTCTATTCAATTTAAATTATTGAGTGTTATTGGCATGAAAAGACAATACTTATATTAAGAGTTATAAAAGAGATAACATCAATAATAATAAATGTATGAATGTGTACATATTTGAACAACCACAAACCCTATTAAATAGGGCATTATAACACAAATATGAATTAAAAAGCAAACAACAACAGTCAATTCAACATTAAAAACAACAAGCAGTATTTTATTTGGTGCTGTTTTACTAGATGCCCCTGAAGTGCTCAAATATTTAGCTACCAATGTGCAGCAAATGTGTTTTTCTCCTCATAGATGTTTGAGTTAGTCCTTTTCTGACTGTGATACAATTTAAGGATATGCATGTAGATGTTGGATAAGAATAAAGCTCTAATTTCTGCACATTTGTCGCAGTGTGCATGTGTCTCCACTGCCTGTCCTCCCCGGGCAGCCAGGTCTGTCTCTACGTCCAGACTGTGTCCACTGACTCTGCCCCTCCTCGGTGTCTCGATCAAAATGTCCACCTGGCTTGATTGAGGTTAGATGACAACCAAACAGAGCAAACATCAACCCTCATACCTGGATTCTGGGGTCCAGTTCCTCCTCGTAGGGGCTGTGCAATTGCTCTCCCACGCATTTCTGTTTGTCACTTTCGCTCTCCTCGCAGGCGTCCCTGAGCGCCGACTCTAGGGAGTTTCCATTAGTTTCAGCGGCTTTGACCTCCTCCTCCTCCCCGCCGGGTATAACCTCCCTCCAATCCCCCCCATCTGACTCCCCGGACCCGGCGGGGCTCTCTCGCAAGTCGCCCGGCTCCATCCCCAGGCCAGGCGGATCCGCTCGCTGCAGCGTTAGCGCAGACGCGGTGGCTAATTCACCCCAGAAGCAGCCCGGTCCTACTATTAATAACAAACAAACGAGTATGATACAGCAGCTGTGAACGCATGAATTAACTCCAGTGGTTAGCGACTGTTTCACCGAAACACGAACCCACTGAAGCCCGCCTCGCCTGCAGCCTTAGCACTAGCAGGCTAACAGACTAAAGGCTGCTTTTCCAGCAGACAGGTGAGAACAAACAGGTGAAAAAGAGGCGAAAGGTAAAAGGAGGCCAGTGGCTGTGTCCTCCCTCCATTACAGGTGTTTTCCCCTCCATGTCTTACCGGTTCCTTGTTACTTTAGCTAGGCTAGCTAGCTAGCGGTTTCGGTCTCACATCATCATTACAACTGAGGTAAACAGACGAGGGTAGTTTGGGCCAGAGCGGCTACCGTAGACGACACAGCCGACACTGTCTCACAGATTTAATGGAGAGAAAAAAAAGGAAACTAGTTCCTGTCATGGCCGAGTGGTGCAAAACGTGTACATGTAGTTAAATATTGTAATAACCTGGTTTTAAATATCGTTTTTTAATGCAAAACAAAGATGTTTAATTTCTTTTATACGCGCATTTTACGTTGCAAGTTGCTCCAAGCTTTGTGATTTTTTATAAATGACTTGAAGATTTGCTTTAAAGCCTTAAGACAACTTAAAGAGAAGTGCCTTAAGTCCCTCTAAACTATAATATAAATACCCTTTAAGTTAACTTAACTTACATAAGTTATATTTTAGATGTTTGTTTTGGTTCATTTTGTAATGGTAATATATATATTGGGTGGTTTTATTGTTAGGTATGCTTCCACTGATAATGCCTGTTTGTTACTTCAAGAAGCTTTAAAAAAAAATAATTGTAAAACCTGTCTGTTATCACTATCACTATCTTTCTAGAAATTTAATCTTTCAATAGTACTGTTGTTTTCCCTATTTTGTTTCCCCTTACGTGGCATTTAAATAGTGTGATTCCACACTGTCCAACAGTATCATGTTTATTCTGTATCTGCTATTTCCAACCCTTTACTGAAGTTATATCATGAATACACACAGAGAAATGTTCTAGATGTTCCAGTCTCACAGATTTGGTATGATTGGAAACACTGGGAGCTCTACTAGAATTTAAAGCTCCCCTATATACATGTATTAAGACATATAAACAAATACTCTGCTTGGAACAATAGAGTTTCCAAGAAATTATACTTTTTATTTCCACATTAAAATCCTTACAAAAGGCATGTACTCCTTCTACTTTATTAAAAATACCAGAATCTATTAATATGCACATTTTGTTCTTCTCTAATGTTTTCCTGCTAGACACAAGATGTCTCCGTACTGTCATGTAAAAGCTCCATTCTCAGTGTGTGTGTGTGTGTGTGTGTGTGTGCACAGCTGGCTTCAAGTATCTACAGTACAGAGAAACTTTCCACTCTGAGCAGATGAATGCAAAACATCCTTCCAGTGTCAAGCTCTGCACAGTGATATCACCTGGTAATAGTGCAATGCATTACATATATTGTGAACAGAGAGCACAGTGTTCTCCCTTTAACTACCTTTAACTGAATTAAGCAACTCATTAAACAAGTGTATTGTTTTTTTATTCCAAAAAAAACAAACACAAATGCTGTAGTTTGCAAGGTTACAAACCTGCAAGGAGTACATTTGAAAAATCATTAAACAAAATTATTTGACATTAAAATGTAAGCAGGAAAAGTGATTTTCATAGAGGACAAACACTGAGAATCAAATGACGGATTATACTGCAGTTATGACCAGTCACCACAAATATAAGCAACCATACCACAGATTATGTTTTCATATTTGTATCAGACATAAACATTTCACATAGGATACCAGAAATTGCAAATAATTTAAACAAAAGTGGCAAACTAGGTAATTGCATTAAATGCATTAATGAATGTCATGTGCACAATTAGCATTTTATAAAAAATAGATCTCTGGTGAGTAACAGCAGTTTTGTCTAACGAACTGTTTAGGCTGTATCCTACACTGTAAGAAACATTTTGGAATAATGAAAAAGACCTGAGTGGCATTGGCAATAAACCCTACACCAGAAAAGAGAGACAATCCATTCTGCATTATCAGGGACAATAAACTAGATCATTCAAAGACAAACTTTAAGGACATCAGTCTTTGGTCTGGAATGCTTTGCTTTCCCCAGCTGACATTTACAAAAAGACTCGATTATGTGGATCATCAGCTCCAGGTGGTATCGTACTTGGTCCATCCTGGAGGAGGGGCTAAGTAGATTCTATGTCCTCGTGAGATGAAACTGACAACCCCTCTGTATCCTGCCCTTGGGACTCCAGACTTCAAGTCTTCCATGATTCCCAGGTTCTTGGCCATCACTTTGAAACTGTCCTTACTTGAGTATTGAAGGCGGAAGGGCCCAGGTCCTTTTAGCGTACCCTGCTTAACATCTTCATATGTAACCACGGGAGCACTGTAAACTTCCTTCTCAAAAACCTCTCTGTACGTCTCCTCTTTCAAGTAACTCAGGTCTAACTTGGTGAAAGGCACAAATTCGGTATTCAGTTTAATATAACGCAGATACTTGTCATAAAACTGACCCAGGCTCACACCTTGCCGGCCAAAGGTCAAAGTTCGTGAGATCTCTGGGCGTATACAGGCACGGTTGCGGCGCTGGTCTGGGTGACGCATCCAGTCGTCCCAGAATGAAGCGGGCCACTTGGGCTCCAGCTCCTCCCACACCTCCTTGAGGAGCATCCACCCCAGGCCAGGGAAGAAGTCTGTCCGGTAGAGCAGGTTAGCTTTACCTGGATCCACGTAGCCATCCCTGCCATTGTCATTCCAGGCTGACACACACCACAGACTGGGGTCGGATTTCAGGAGTGGCAGCGAGGCTCGGAAGTACTCAAAGAAGTCTGGCGCCACCTAGAGTAAAGAGAGGAATACATTTCAGTTTACAAGCCCCCTGTCAACAAGTTAAATCAACAGTTTTAAGGCTACAATAACTTAAAAGCTGTAACATGTGGATCCAGTATAAAAGAATGAACATTTACATTTATCCATGGCCTTTTTAAATTGTATGTAATAATAAATAAAAGCATTAACTGGAGCAATTATTGATGACATGATTACCTCCAGGTCATCCTCTACAATCACAACCGAGGAATGAGAGAGGGTCTTGAACACCTGGTTGAGAGCCCAGCGGTAATGCCTGGAGATTTTGTAGTAACCCTGAAACTTCTTGTGCTGCGGTGGCACGGCGATATCCGACAAGTCCGGCTGTTTCAGATGAGTTACCTGACTTCCATAAGAACGAATAACCTCAGCGGTCTCGGCGTGTCCACAGTCCTGACTCACTATGATTGGGTGAAGCTCTGCTGAAGGACGATGCTGCAGGAGTTTGTCCAAGCAGCGTCTCACTGTGACTCTGTTACAGGCGATAACCAGGATAGGAATGACAGGTTGACGACGGGGGACGGCAACCTTCGGCCCGTCTTTGTTTGGCGTCTCCCACAGCGACTGATGATTCTGGATCTGCAGCAGGATTTGTTTCTGCCTTTCAAGTTCTGCTTCGAACGTGTCCGCCATTCGGAGCACATCCCCCACCACGTCATTAGTAGGCCTTTCACCCACTTCTCCCTGCCCTCGGCCAGGCTCGCCCGGCTGGCCAGGTGGGGGTCTTCCCCACAGCAGTAACACCAGTATGGCGTTCCAGGTGATAAACAGGAACGTACCACAAAGAATGAGAGAGCCTCTCTTGCGGATCATGGCACAGAAAATCCAAGGGAGGGAGGTGGGTTCGAGAGGACAGGGTCTGAATAGAAAGACGTGTCCTTGTCACAGACAATAGGAATGGGATATGGGAAGGGCAGCCTGTGTATCATCACAAGTGCATGATCAAAGATCTGGGGGTCACACCTAGTTGGCTCACTGTGCAGTAACTAAAGTTTAGTAAAGCGAAGATGGAGAAAATACGACGAAGGGCAGGACACATCTTGCAGTGAAGTGGTGATTCTGAGAGAGCCTCAACTTCCAATATCATCTTCCATCTGAAATCAGAAGAACATCATGTACTTTAAGCACGCATAAAGGACTGCAATAAAAGTTCGAGTCAAAGAGGAAATCACACATGAAAAACACAAAAAGGCAAATTTATGTAGCTCTAAAGAGGAAGTTGCCTCATGTGAACCGGAGTGACGATTCATTGAACTGTCTAATCGATTTTCTCTTATCACCTGTGGCTGTCTCGCCAAATAGGCCAAGCGGTGCGTTATTGAGACTGAATAACCATAAAGCACCGACTCCTGACCCCGCTGTCCACCCTGTCCTCGACACACAGCCTCCACTCGACACACTGTAAATACTGTAGCTTGAGGAGGAGCGTGTTGAAATTAGCCCATTACCCTGACAGCGCGTCCACTTCTTCCTCTTCGGACCATTTTCTCCGCCGCTTCTTCGATGACAACCTGCGAAAGTTAAACGACTGCAGCCGAGAGGCCGTGTGGAGCCGACGTAGAACTGCTCTCTCGGTAGTTTCCCGGCTGTAAAAGCAACTTAACGCCCCTTAGTTTGTCTCGGTTCTCGCAAGACTGGAAGAGGAGGAGGAGGAGGAGGAGGAGGAGAAAAAGTAACACGACGACTTCCTGGGTAAGCGGGCAGTCACGGGAAGTCCCGCCCTAACTGTCACCTTGAGACATTACACAATAGTTTACCGTCTGAGCTGCTCTCTGGAGCTAATTAAGAGGCATTTTGATGTCTTTGTAAAAGATGTGTGTGTCTTTTTTCCCATACCGTGGCTTCTATAGATTAAAATACATTTTTCAGCTCAGTTTTCAGTGGATTTTAATGTTAATAGAGATCTTACCTAATGTGTTTTCTGCATGAGCTGCAGAGAAGTGCATGTAATGTGCAATTAAATAATAAAATGGATATTCCTTTCCTTCTGTCTACCTGATTACAAACATACTCAGTTATGATGTTATTACGTTTTTCCACCCCGTAATATCTATTGGGTGTTTGAGTAGCAGTGGTCGACTGTAATTAGCTATTAACTCAAGTACTGTACTTAAAAGGGCCAGTGTGTAGGATTTAGGGCCATCTACTGGTGTGTTTGCAGATTGCAACCATTTGCAGATTACTGAGTCTTTACAAAGGTGTAGGATAAACTATGGTGGGTGCAAAATTCGCAAAAAAAAACATGACACGCTTTTATCTAGTGCCAGCGTTTGGTTTGTCTTATCTGGGCTAGAAATATGGTGGTTCAAGATCGCGGCCTCCCTGGAGCAACCCGCTCTCCTGCAGTTTAAAATGGCTCATTCTAAGGTATCAAAAAGGCAACAATTCTTATTAGGGCGATTATACACTAATAAAAACATACCTATGAATATTATTTTCAATTTCTGCCAATAGATCCTTCCAAAGGTTACATACTGGACCTTATACGCGTATATATATATATATATATATATAGTGTACTATAGTGTATATAGTGTAAAAAGCACAATTAGCCGTTTTATGGTGATTTAACTATTTCTGTTTGTGTTTTTTACAAGTAGGTTATTGTACGTAACGAGATAAAAAGTGTTGATTATTGATGTTTAGAACTGCAGGCAGATGGATTTTATATGACAGAGCCAGATTGGCTAGCTGTTTCCCTCTGTTTCCAGTCTTTATGCTAAGTTATTCTAACTTGCTGGTTGCAGTTATGTCACACAGTAATTACCATACAGATAATATCTGCGGTTCAAAGATAAACAGGTGCTCTTCAGAGTTGACCAGCCAGTTTACACAAAAGATGGTATTTGTCTGGCATTTTCCTTCACACGTGGGGATGGTATGGACACTTTTAAAACACCAGTTGGCAATTCAAGTGTAATTCAATATTTACAGCTTCTAATCATTATGGACAGTTTATTTACACATACAGTGTTTGTGGCCTTTCACAGTAATCACAAACATGTTCAGAAAAGAACGCAAAACAGGCAAGTTTGTCCTGTTTCCTTAATGCAGCTTTGAGTCTGTGTCCTGTGTCCTGTTGCTTTCCTTGTTTTCCTTCATTTCTTCACTTCACTGCATGTAAACCAACTAGAATGTGCCCCAGTGTTTAGTTTTATCTTCACCATTACTTACCAAGAGGAGAGATCACTCTTCCTCCACTTTAGTATCAGATCTAAAGCCCATCCACGCCTGCCCCCTTCAGGAATTTGTTCCCTTGATGAACAAGCCTACAGTGAATGATCACATTTGGTACAACCTGCAACCTCTGACCCTGCTTGGAGGCGTGCCTACGTCCACCATAATGGTTTGGACTATTCCCTGCTCCACTGCACTCAAGTGGAGGTCACCGCCCGCTGTCACGTGGCCTTCTGGACTCAGTGTATATATATATCAGGCTTGATTGGGCTGCTAGTAGGAGGGTTCTTCAGGACCAGTTTGCCTTTATTGGGCTTGAAGCGGATGGACAGAGCCCTCTGCATGTCTGTTGTCAACGTTATCGTATGTGCAGAAACACACAGCGCACTCCTCCGGTCACTCTCTACCTCCATCCTGTCTCGTCTCCTCACTCCTCCCTCGCTGCCTCCTCTCTCCCTGGTCTCTGCTGCCTCTTTTCACCCTCTCTGATTCAGTGCTCTTCGATCTCCTCACTTTTGCAGGCTTCCTCTTCCACTGGTCCTCCTTGCTGTTCCTTTCTTTCTGTCTTGAGTTTGGGTTTAACATTAGGGGCCTGTCTGGCTCAAAGGCTCTGGCTCAAGCTCTCTTCAGGTCTGTTTCCAGTCTTTATGCTAAACTAAACTGGTTGCAGTTGTGTCATTTCCATACAGATATGAAAGTGGTAGAGTCTCATTTAACTCTATAAAAAAATAAATAACTGTATTTCCACAAATTTGAGGAACTTGTACTGTAGTAGTTGTTGAAGATAGGCTGTTTTCATTTCATGCTACATTTTTAAACTTTTTTATAATTCAGAAGGGGATATTGCATTTTTCACTCTACATTTATTTGAACTGCATTCAAAATACAAAATAAGCTTTTGTGCAAAACACACAGGCTAAGGTTAAAAATAAAATGTCCTGCCATATGATGTTTTTTATTTTTTATTTTAACTATCCACCAGGAGGGCTAAAGTAAAATCTAGGACTACAAAGAAGGCATGTGTTTGTTTTACAGGTATTTATTGTTGCAGTATTGCTTAGTACTTGAGTACTAAAGCAAAAGAAAGTGCTCTAGAACAACCAGTTGTTTTCTTACATCACTGGGTTGAAGTCCAGATGTGGTTTGTGTTTTGTGAAAGCCAGGTAGAAGTCAATAAATAAGGTTAGATCACAGTGTGTATTTTTGGTGCTCAGGCCTTGGACTTGGACTCTCTATCAGGCAGGTCTGTCCTTTGTGATCCTTTGTCTAGAGCCGGAGTTGTTCTGGGTGGAGATGGGGCCAATAGAACTGTGGATTTTTCTTTTCTTTTCCTGAAAGAGGGTGTATAAAATTATTTCATACAGTAACTACAGCAACACAAAGGATGTGGTCTCGTTGGTATCAAATTAAGTCTTGTGACACTCACCTGCAGGGCATTGTTTTTTATGTTTTCCTCATCCTGTTGGCTCAGCAGGTGCTGTGGCGCATCTTTAGGGCTGCTGCTGGACCTACACAACACCCCCAGCTTCAAAAACATCAGTTCTGACACCAGAGCAGTCAAAGATAAACAGGTACTCTTCAGTGTTGACCAGCCAGTTAACACGAAAGACGGTATTTGTCCTGCATCTTCCATCACACATGGGGACGGTATGGACACTTTTAAAACGCCAGCTGAGGATTCACTTATTTCCTGAACAAATACCAGGCCTATCTTACAGATCTGCATATGTGTGTGCATATATGTGGTATATGTTTTGTATTTAATCATTTGAATTACTTTAGAGCATTTATCTACTCCAGGCAGGTTGGATGTTAGTCTGCGTGCCAATTGACGCACCAGCGCGTTTTGGACACCAGGCACAGCTGAGTGCGCGTCCCCTGGGGATTGCGAAAGTTTTGGATGACATAATTTATTACTTTCCCTGGATTTTTTTTGCTTGCGCACTTTACCATCCACACAGGGTGACTTAAACGCCACAGTCAGTTTTCTCCACACCACAACACGCTCTCCCTGGAGAAAAGCCTCCCACGCTGAACCCTGATCTGGCAGGGTGCGCTCAGCCGGCGAGTCGCGCACCACGCCGCCGGCTAGTCCGAGGCTGTAAACCGAGGTGGCAGGCCGCTTGGTCGGCGGATTCCTGGTCCAGAGATTCCCCCGACACCGGAGAACAGCAGACAAGGCAGAGGCAGAGGGAGTGGAAGCCATAGTGGTCGATAGTATCCACAACAGTCCGTCTCTGTTTCAGGATTTTGGCGTTTAACCTTTATCCAAGCGGGCACATAACGTATAAAGCTTAATTTGCGTAAGAAGTGGATTAGAGGAGGGGGATCTTTTCTGCTCTGGACCATAAGACCATATTTGCCTCGATAGCCGAGGGGAGGGGTGGGGGTTTGGGGGTCAGGTAGGTGTGTCTTTAGGCAGTGGTGGAAAAAGCAAAGTCCTGTATTCGAGTACAGAAGTATGAAAGTATTATCAGCAAAATGTACTCAAGTATCAAGAGTAAAAGTAGTTATCACACAGAACCCCCCTCTAAAAGGAGCATACAATGGAAATACTCAAGTAAAGTGCAAGTACCAGAGGATTAATCTTGAGTAAATATACTTTTCTCCACTGTCGTTAGAGAGAGCATGCAAGTGCAATAAGTGTCAAAGTATATATATTTATCTGTTTTACAAACTAAAGTTACAAGTTAATAGTACATTACTCTCCTAATACACAGGCCAATCCTGTTATTTCTAATTTGTCTATAAGTTTAAAGACAGTCACTGAACACTGTATATGTATCATAAAGACCGAGTTCAATTTCTCTTATGTCATTCCTGCAGTTGTTTTTCACGATTTACATGTCACATGTTTTGTGCACACCAAGCCAGAGACGGATGGCATGTTAAAAGCGATCACATATCTTGTCTCATTGTCAAAACAGACAGCTGATCTCCTGAGTAAGCCAGAAGAAATGTTATGGAGGTAATAGGTGACACTTGTGCTGTCCAACGGGTTTGTCAGTCTACAGAGGCCAGAGGCACAGCTGAGGAGAAATTCAGTATCCAAACCCTGTTAAGTGGTCTGTGTGCACCACTAGAGGGCATCATGTGTCTAAAGAAGCCCTGCAGGTTTCTAAAAAGGCAATAGGCAACAAATCTGTTTCTGAATAGTTTAGAGAAATAAAATTGCCTTTATGTGTTTTTGAAATACTGAGCGATACGTATTCAATGCCTCAAGAATGCTTTATTTGATGACACGATGGGAAATAGTCCATTAATATCAGTGAAAAGAAAAAATACTTACAAATATATATCATCTATGGTTATGTACAATGTATTAGTCTATAAACAAAATTTGTAAGATCTAGAAATCCTGAACTGTTGGAAAATCAGCCCGATGAAATCAAAACCTACTAAAGTCTTTCCACCACAGAATTTAGTGCATTTCAATATTTTACAGCTTCTTAATCATTATTTATAATATTATTTATTTACACATACAGTGTTTCTGGCTTTTCACAGTAATCACAAACATGTTCAGAAAAGAACATAAAGATAGTTTAAGAAACATGTACACGTTTGTCCTTTTTCCTTCATGTACAACTTTGAGTCTGCATGTCGTTCGTTTACAAAAATGTTGCTGTCCTTGTTCCATTTCTTTGCCTCACTGCATGCAAATCAGCTGGAATGTGTCCCAGTGTTTAGTTTTATTTTCACCATTACTCACCAAGAGAAGCAATCACTGAGAATACAACAAGTTTAGTGTCATATTGTCTCCCTCAACCTACAGCCCGTCCACCCCTGGCCCCTTCAGGGAGGGGATCCACCTCCTGGTGGACCGAATGATGTTTGGTTGCCTTGATGAACAGGCCTACGGTGACTGACCACATTCGGTATAATCACAAAGGCCAGAATCCCCACCAGCATGAGCGTCACAGTGATGGTGATGATGGACGCCACCACTGCATAGTAGCACTGGTCCGAGCGGAACAACCTGCGCAGGCGACCTCTGACCCTGCTTGGAGGCCTGCCTACGTCCACCACTGTGGTTGGGACTATTCCCTGCTCCATTGTACTCAAGTGGAGGTCAGCACCTGCTGTCACCTGGCCTTCTGGACTCTTTTTAGGCAGGGTGAGGATATTAGACTTGATCTGGCTGCTAGGAGGAGGGTTCTTCAGGACCAGTTTGCCCTTATTGCGCTTGAAGCGGATGGACAGGGCCCTCTGCATGTCTGGCGGGAGTTTCCCTATGATGTCCTGATTGTTGCCCAGGCGGGGCAGGTCCTTTCCGTGAGGGAGGTCAGTCAGCTCACGACATACAGGGCAGGACAGGGTCTTGAGCTCAGGAGAGGTCACGTTTATGCGAGCAAGGCACTCCAGGCAGAAGGTGTGTCCACACACCAGCAGCTTTGGGGTCTTGAATACGTTATCGTATGTGCAGAAACACACAGCGCACTCAGTGTCCTCCACATCATCCTGAGGGGGTTTCACCTTCCTCCGGTCGCTCTCGCCTTCCCTCCTGTCTCGTCTCCGGGCCTCCTCACTCCTTCCCCGCTGCCTCCTGTCTTCCTGGTGCCTGTCTCGTTCTCTCCTCCTGCCTCTTTCCACCCTCTCTGAGTCAGTGCTCCTCGATCTCCTCACTTTTGCAGGCTTCTTCTTCCACTGGTCATCCTTGCTGTTCCTTTCTCTCTGGCTGAGCTTGGGTTTGACGTTGGGGGCCTGTCTGGCTCCATGGCTCTGGCTCCTTCTCCCTTCGGGTCTGTGTCTCTCCTCGTCATCGCTCATGTTGTAAGAATGTTGTTGCTGTGGGAAATGAGAGCTTGGGTGAGTCTGCTGACTTATAGAAACTAGCAGAGCAGGAAACAAACTGTTGGAATTTACCTGCACAGTCACCATTGCTGTCATGATGATGAAGCAGTAATGCCTAATCTCTTCCTATCTAACATATCTATGGCATTCAATTGCTATCTGTTTATTTTTCTTATTTATTACACATGCATGTGGTGCTTTTGCCTTGATAATCAGTTGCTATATTTATTTAATAGGCTTTCCTGCCCAGAAATCATCAGCAAACACACCTGCAGTAAGAGCTGCAGAAAAAGGGGTTTCAAATAGGTTTTAGGTAATGGGTATTCTTATAACTCTGTCTGTCTTAGTGGGTTGAAACCTAATAAGTAAAACTAAACCAAAGGTGACATTGCTGTGTGACAGGGCTTCATTGTTTTGGATCGTCACAGAAAACATTCCATCAGACACGTCCATAGTCATAGTACATAGCCAGTCATTAACTCAAAGTTTTTAACCAGCAGGAGCAACAGAATTCAAATTCCAGCAGCTGATTTCCTTCAAACAGTAGACATGTTTACATTTGGAACAAGTTTAAGCTAAGTTTCTCTTCATTAAGAATTCAGAGGCTTTAAAACAAGAGGTGTGAGCTTTCCAGCTAAAAGCGGCAGAGAAAACCTTTGTATGACAAAGAACAAGACAGTTTGCAAACACTCTCTCTCTCACACACACACACACAGACACACACACAAACACTGACCTGCTGAGGTAGATGAATGTTGGAATCACGTCGTCATCAAACTTCATTACAAAAAACAAACAAATGTACTCTGGAAGTCTTTTGGTGCGTCTGTAATCCCAGTTCTCCTGTTCTGTTTGTATCTTTGCTCTCATATCTGGATTTTAATTATAACACGGCACTGCCTCCTCTAAGCCCTCCTCCTAGCTGTCTCCCGCCTTCCTTTTATTTTCTAGTCAGACCAGTTGGACCAGCTGTGAGGAGTGCTTTTAACTGTTGAAATACGTAGATAACCAGGTCATTTACTTAGATAACTTTAATATCTCCTTACAGAGCAGAACCTACATTATACTTGTATGATAGTATTGCATAAAGGCAGCTGTGCCAGTGATCATAGCTCAATTTTCAGTCAATTATCATTATCAGTCAATTAAGAATCAGACAAATATTGCTCAGCCTTTGTTGTTGAACTGAGCATTCAATGTCAGATATATGGTGTCAGTGACGTGAAGGGTCACACGCTTGAGAAGCACATGAATTTATTTTTGCTTTATGCGACTGTATGTGTGATATGAATCAAGGAAAACAATAGTGACTGTTGTGAAAATTCCACTGTGGCTGCATAAAAAAGCCAAAGGTACTGTCAACACCACACGCATCAGCACCTCATACCTGTCATACCTCCACCGCTCTCGTCACTTTGTGAGTTTACCACCCAAACAAGAACAGCTACCTATCAAGACCTCTTCTCACTGCACAGTCCTGGTTACTCCCTTTTCATCTGAGCTTCCTGAATATTTGAGGATACACCCTGACTGACATGACAACTCATGAAATGGCAAAAACTGGGTTAAACATTTTGCTTTGCTTTGTCCAAGAGCTCTTCCTTAAACAAAGTGGTGCGTCACTCTCTATGTAACAAAAACATGCAGCTATGAGGGCCTGAGAAGGGACTTTAAAATTAGTATTCTTATGAGGGATGCATAATGGTGTAACATATTTTGTATTCAGTTACAAGTTAAAGATTAACACACAAGTGCTATTCCAAACTAAATAAATGTTTATTGTATTATTTCTCTCCGATGTTCTTTTATTTATATAGCACCAAGTTTTTCTTTCTCAGGACACTTCATACAGAGCATGCCTAGATGGTACTACTATTTTCTTGCACCTAGTGACTTTGTACAATATTCTATAGCAAACTTAATTCCAAACTCACATAGTCCCTTTGTATTAACAAGCCTGACAATAAGATATTTAAATACAGCGTCTAAATATAACTCTAAGAATAAAAGTATATTTACTTTGGTGTAAGTGGTGTAACTAAAACCAGAAAAAAGCCTGAGTCAATCTTAACAGGTAGTAAATACTAAAGTAATGATGACTAATCACTGAGCTGCAAACCAACTGAAAAAACAACAAGTGGTTGTAAAACTTTATTGTCGTAGAAAAATGAAAATAAAGGAGCTTCAGACAAGAATGAAACTCATTTTAAAGTGAGTCTTTCCAGTCAAAAATCAATTTGCACACTTTAACAATGTGCTGTGTCCACAAATGCACACTTCGACAAAGCCCCTATATTTAGTGGAAAAAGTAGGACAACAGTCTCACGTTCATTAATGAGCTGAAAAAGCCACCCAGTGAATCCGTACTGCTGCTGTTGATGCAGGAAAGTCAAATCCAAGTGCATTAATGTTTCCTCGTTGTGGCCCAGATGACACGGCTGGTTTACGATTAAACCAGTCAGTAAGTTTGTGACCCACTTCTCATTGGACCCATCTCTCTGCTCCATGCATTTAGATTTAATATGTTAAATGCTGATACTGTTTCAGCACAATTATAAATGGCGTATCAATCAACAGCAGAAAACAA